GGGGATACAAGAGGATTCGGGTTGATTGGTGGAAGACAGCCTTGTAAAAGAATAAAATATTTTTTACCTGGTGGCTTTCCCGTCCCCACAGTGCAGGACATAGGGCAGCTGGGGTGCTGTAACAGACTCTAGCTCCCATCAGCCTCAGCTGGTAGGGGCAGTGATCAGAGGGGTGGAAGATGTAGCCCAACAACACCTGAAAGACCACAGGTTCCCTATCCTTGATTCAGATGAGGTCTTGAACTCCACCATATCTTTTCAGAAACCTGTTGTGTTGTTTATTGAACCTTGACTTGTAGCTTGCCTCTTGGAAGTTTCAAGATCATGTGTTGAAGTCTTTGTGGTAGTGAGGCAAGAGGTTTCGCAAGAATGCTCTCTAGTGGTCTGTTTCCACTGTGACCAGATGGTCATATTCATACTGGCAAATATTCTGACATCTTGTACACTGGGCTGGTGCCATTACGGTACTTTAGAAACCTATGTTACTGCTGATCCTTTTTGCAGTAGGGCTGCTCCCAACTACCAACTTACTAATTCTTCCTTGTCTTCATAGCATTTCAGCTTTGTTTCCAGGCCCACGGCATCCCTTTATATTTTGGAAGGTTTTCTGTAGGCTGCTGTCCTAATCCTATTCTGTGTCCTTCCCGCATCCCAAGTTTCTCCCAAGTCTTTAAGAGGTGCTGTGATGTTTCCCAAACTGGGTTGAGTCACTTATTTCTTCAGCCTGGGAATGTACCTCCCCAGAGTGCCCTTTCTTGTCTGTCTATTTGTATGACATTCTCTTGAAAAGTGATTTGCTTCATGCAAGAGTCTGGATGTATGTGAGAGAACGAGAGAACAAGTGTGTGTATATGAGTGGATTGTGTTAGATGTGAGAACAGATGTGTTTGTGTGTGGATGTGTGTGGGTGTGGGCAATGTTTCCATTGTGGGGTGTATGAGGGTTTGTGGGGTGGCCCTATCCAATGCTGAAATGTGGCTCTTGGAAGCTTAGCCACAAGGCAGTGTGGTCCTTGGGTGGGAAAATGTACCCTCTCCCCCATTTTATGGCAAATCTTCCCTGGTTCTTAACACCCCTCTTGCCCAGCACACTGCACTGCATACAGCTAGTAATGGACATAGTGACAGTACCAGAAAATGTAAGGTAAAAAGTAAAGAACTCCAGTTGAATTTGACTTTGGGCTGTGGCGCTCATCTCTGCTTTCAAACTGCTGACCTTGCAATCAGCAAGCCCAAGAGGCTTGGTATGTTCAGTGTTCTCTACTCAGCCGAAACCTGGGTTCAAAGCCAGCTCAAGACATATTGTTGCCTGAGGTGAAAGGAAAGGTTCCATCACTCCCAGTTCCAAGCACTGAAGATTCTGTGATTCTGACTTCAGCACTGGTGAGAGGTCAGCATTATGCCTCAGGGTGAGAGGCTAGCATATGACGTGGACGGCAGGCCATGTAGCAGACGAAGCTCTGTTCACCAACAGCTCACCCACCCCCAAGTCTCTGCCACCTGAGGCAACTGCCTCATTTGGCCTAATGGTAGGACCAGCCCTGCCTGGGATAAATGCACTATTGACTGGGCCTGTACAAGTGTGAAATCAGTTTCACAGCACCTGCCGATTACGGGGCAAGAAGGAAGAGAGCATTTGCAGAGGAATTGCCAGGAAGGGAAACATTAATGCAGCTGTCCCTCAAGCACCTCATAGGAAGCTCAGACATACCTGGCGCTGGACTTTGCCCCTTTGGAAGCCTGATCTGGTTGCAATGTGTTATGTCATTTTCCTGACAGGAGTGGAGTGGGCAAAGGCCACATGTGCCTGAAATAGCCACATGTCCTTCTGCCAGGGAAGGCCCTTTGCCCTGCATTCAAGTGCCATGGCAACAAGAGCAAGGACCCACCAGCCAGAGCAAGAGAGAACGGCCTTGGAGGTAAAAATAAACAGGCGGTACTTGGATAAGGTCCCCAAAAGACTTTGCCTCCTCCCACAATGTTTGTCCTTGCACATGTCGGAATGCGGGGCTGAGAGCAAAGACCTGCAGGGCTTTATTTCCCCAAGGGGGTGGACAATGGCACAGGGGATTGAAGCTTCCCAGGTGGAAAGCCAGGTCTGGTTGATTCTGCCCCCAACTCTGAAACGAAAAGGTGGTTTAAAGCAGGGGGTGAAAACCCTTTTCAGCCAGAGAGCCACATTCCCTTGTGTGTATACCAAGGGTGGGCATGGGCTGGTGCAAAAGTGGGCAGCACAGTGGATAGAACTGGCTTTCATACAGCAGGTTACATTCCATCCATGAAGAAGGCAGGGGCTGTATCCAATGTAGTACAGCGCTACCTTGGTTTAAGAACAGTCCTGTTTACGAACTATTCAGTTTACGAACTCTGCAAAATTGAAAGTAGTGTTCCGGTTTGCAAACTTTACCTCGGCCTACGAACGGAAGCCAAATGGTGGAAGGGCACCGGTGGCGGAAGGCCTCATTGGGGAAAGCGTGCCTCGGTTTAAGAACGTTTCGGTTTAAGAACGGACTTCAGGAACGGATTAAGTTCGTAAACCGAGGTACCACTGTATTAAGGACTCAGCTACATTGGCAAAGAAAAAGTGCTTTATATGTGTTGTTTATGCACTCCAACACCGTGACACCAGATGGTGCTGTGGAGTTCAGTTTTTGCTAACCTGATTTCTCATACAAAGTTTGCAATGCATTTATCTGAAACGCTTCTTTGATGTGTCTAGATCCAGCCTAAATGTCTCATCAGAGCAATGATTTCTGCTTCCTCAGTGGGATCTCCCCCCTCCCCCCAAAAAATATGTTTTAGGAGTTTCCCCAACTCTCTGAAGCAGATTTGGGGAGGGAACAGGACACAGAAGCGGGAGTGGGGAGTCCCATTGTACAAGTGGATATCCTTGTGCTGATGGAACCCAAATCCAGTATCTGTTCCTCATATGGAACAGGTCCCCACATCAGGTTCCTTGTGAATTTTTTCACTACTGCTATCTGCTCCTAAAGGTATTCTTTATTGCAAACAGCACCTTCAAGGGAAAATAGCAGCCTGGCAGCAGGGGATTTTCAGAAGGTAGTTGGATAGTGTTTATCTGGTATTTAGAGGTATACTCCTTCTGATCATAGAAGTTCTACTTCACAATGACTGATGGTTGCTTATTGACCTATCCGTCATTGTACTAGTTCTGTGCATTGGTCCTCTTTTCTCATAAGAATGCTTCTGGTACCATTCTAAATCTTGTCAACCACTCACTGTTCCTTTGACATTTAGAGCCAACACGCACAGAAATTAAAGGACAGTACTTTACTCAAAAAGGGACGTGGGTGGCGCTGTGGGTTAAACCACAGAGCTAGGACTTGCCGATCAGAAGGTCGGCGGTTCGAATCCCCGCAACAGGGTGAGCTCCTGTTGCTCGGTCCCTGCTCCTGCCAACCTAGCAGTTCGAAAGCACATCAAAGTGCAAGTAGATAAATAGGTACTGCTCCAGCGGGAAGGTAAACGGCGTTTCCATCCACTGCTCTGGTTCGCCAGAAGTGGCTTAGTCATGCTGGCCACATGACCCGGAAGCTGTACACTGTCTCCCTCGGCCAATAAAGCGAGATGAGCACTGCAACCCCAGAGTTGGTCACGACCGGACCTAATGGTCAGGGGTCCCTTTACCTTTACCTTTTACTTAACTCAAAGCATTCATCCCAAATAAAGAAATAATTGAAATATGCAAACTTTCCTAGCATGAGACATGAAAAATGAACAATTCATTGTGCTTCTCTTAAGAAACAGCAAATAAACACACTGATAACATCCAGCTCACACTATTTTTTCTGTCTATTGCCACAGAGGCTGCAGAGACCATGGGAGATATCCAACATTGATCATGCTTACAACAAACATTGCAATCAACTGATTTCAGTGGTTCTACTCTGAGAATAGCTAAGGCTGAACATCATCCCTTGAATTGTTCCTTGGGAACAGTGATGGATAGGATGTTAGCTACGAAACTGAGGCTTAATCTCAATAAAACAGAGGTACAGTGGATTTGTTTTTATTTTGGCTTCTTTTAATTGCAATTGTATTTAAATTATTTCTTAGTGACCTTTGGATATAGCTCAGGACCACAATACCTCAAAGACTGCCTCTTTCCATATGAACCTACCCGGACCCTGAGATCATCTTCTGAGGCCCACCTTTGTGTCCCTCCTTCTCGGGAGGTCTGGAGGGTGGCAACACGAGAACAGGCCTTCTCTGCAGTGGCTCCCTGTCTGTGGAAGCCTTTCCCCAGGGAAGTTCACCTGGCGCATTCATTATACACCTTTAGACGCCAGGCAAAAGCGTTCCTTTTTAACCAGGCATTTGGTTGACCTGGTTGACATCTTATATTCTTCTAAAATGTGGCTATTTTTTTGGGAGGTGAACTGGGTTATTGTTCTTATTTTGCTTTTATATATTTTCAACTTTTCTGTGAACCGCCCTGAGACCTCTGGGTATAGAGTGGTATATAAATTAAATTAATAATTTTTAAATGGTGGTTTATAATTTGTAAAGTGAAAAAGTACAGACTTACTACTGTGTGTTCATAATATGAATGACTTACAAGGCAATACTATGAATATTTATTCAGAAGTCCCATTAGGTTCAGTGAAACTTACTTCTAGGAAAGTACGCACAGGACTGCAGCCTTAAAAACATAATTAAAGTGGGTTAATGAGAACCAGAATTTTAAAAGAATCAACATTCCTAATGAGTTAAGGAGACTCTTCGCCATATTTCTGAAACATGTATGTGTTTTTAATCATTGGAAGCTGCTGAAGAAGGACCCAATAGGTTGAAAATTATCGGGCAAAGTTTAAGCAAGTAATGACTAAACTATATGTGTCTGCTCAAATGTAAATTCCTTTTTTATATATAAAATTTATTTTCAGTTTTTTCAAATTTACATAATATACACATTAATTAATAATACAAATATCCCCTTGGATTCATTCTGTTAGGATTTTTATACTGCATCTCTGTTCCAACTCCAGTTTTTCATTTTCTCCTTTCCTTTTCCTTAGTCAATAATCTTAATAGGAAAAAGGAAAAGGAAAGGAGAAAATGAAAAACTGGAGTTTTAAATTAATCCTGCTAAGGAATTTAATTGCTTACAATCATTTTTCAAATAAATTACATATTTTCCCATTCTTTGTTAAAAGTAATTTCTTCCTGGTTTCTAATTCTTGCCATAAGTTTTACCATTTCAGCATAGTCCATTAATTTTAACTGCCAGTCTTCCTTGAATGGGATCAAATGTAAATTCCGTTGAGCTCAATGAATAGGTAGGATTGCACTAAAAGGCTGTAGTTCTATTACAAACTTGAAACAGATTTTCTAAAAATTGTAGAAGAAAATGGTGCATATGTGTTTGTATATATTTCAACCCCCTACTTTGTGTGGACCAAGTGTGACCAGTGCTAATAATACACTTGTAATTATGTATTCATTGTCATCCTGAATTGTAAGAGAAATACAATACATTATTAAGTTACTGTATCTCATTTGGAAATATCTTAGACTTAACCCTTCTTTGATTTCTGATGTTGGGAATAGATTCTTTGCAATGGGGAAACTCATGAAGTCCTAGGGTAGGGAGGCAAAGGGTTTCAGATTTCTGGGAATCTTGAACCATGTGGCTTCCTGGTTGCCACAGGAGTAAGAGGTTACAGGATATGCAACCCAGCCCTGGCATTGCCCAAGAGGCAAGGTTTGATGTGATATTGCAGCCCCATGTGGCATCACAACACAGTAGGTGTTTGCTTACCCTTTATACACGAACACATACAACGTGGCATTTGACTTTGACTCAAGATGGGCAAGGAAGTGGCAAAAACCTGTCACCACTTGCTCCCCTCCACCTGCCATCGCCTGCCCCTGTTCTGCTCTACTGAAGCTCCTTCACCTCAAATCCCAGTTCTCACAAACAGCCAAGTTAGAGTTCAGCAGAATCTGGAGAGCCATGGATTCCTCACCCTGTTCTTTGCTCCGCTCTGCTCCCACCACCAACACCACACACACACATACCTCAGGGCTAGGCGATTAAGTGTAAGGTATTGGTTGTGTTTGGAATAGATTTATGAAAGATTTAGAAAATTTATTGATTAGAATATTTGCATGAGATTGTATGGGAAAAATACGGAATAACAGATACAAATTTGCTTAAAATGTATATAGGAAGTGGAGTGTAAGCGATGGAAGTCAATCAATGAAGTTTTATTGTTGAGATATTTGTGGTGTGAATTTGGAGGAAATTCTTCCAATTTTTCCTCTTATTTTTTCTTTTTCTTTTTTCTTTTCTTCCTTTTCCCTTTTTTGTTCTTTTTTATAAAAAGGTAAAGGTAAAGGTACCCCAGCCTGTACGGGCCAGTCGTGTCTGACTCTAGGGTTGTGCGCTCATCTCACTCTAGAGGCCAGGAGCCAGCGCTGTCCGAAGACACTTCCGGGTCACGTGGCCAGCGTGACGAAGCTGCTCTGGCGAGCCAGCACCAGCGCAGCGCACAGAAACGCCGTTTACCTTCCCGCTAGTAAGCGGTCCCTATTTATCTACTTGCACCCGGGGGTGCTTTCGAACTGCTAGGTTGGCAGGCGCTGGGACCGAGCAACGGGAGCACACCCCGCCATGGGGATTCAAACCGCCGACCTGACGATCGGCAGGTCCTAGGCGCTGAGGTGTTACCCACAGCGCCACCTGCGTCCCTGTTCTTTTTTATATATGTGTGCTTATCTGGAAAATGTATGTATGTATGTATTTGTATGTATTTTGCTTGTATTTTGTAATAATTATGTTAAATAAAATTTAATAATAATAAAAAAGAGTTCAGCAGCATCTGGAGAGCCATAGGTTCCTCACCCTGTTCTTTGCTCTGCTCTGCTCCCCCCCACCCCCCCGCCCACACATACCTCAGGGCTGGGCGAGAAGCCTTCTCCCTAACACCAAGGTGCCTATGCAGAGGGAATTGCATTGTCTGGAGGAACATTTAAATCCTGTGAGCCTCAGGTGGAGTCAGAAGTGAAAGAGGCTTTCGCACTGCATCCACTGTTTGGGGCAAGCAGACCTACTTCTGCTGAAAGCAAGAAAGACTCGGATGCCATTTCTGACATTCACATTGTAGACACATGAATAGTACCTGCCCTGGGTTTCTGACCTGGCTCAGTGGCTCCATCAGGACAGGCCTCAAAGGCAGGAGTTCAGTCAAATGAACAGCAGGGCCATCTAAAAAGGGTTCTTCCTAACACCATTAAGTCCAGAGCCTAAAATGAAGTAACTGCACCACTGTACCTGTCTGTCTCCACCGCCACCTGCCGACCTCATTAATCTGGTGGAGGTGGAAATAAATGAATATTCGACGCAGCACAATGACCCGTAATGGGAACATGGCTCTCTATTGCCCTCTAGTGGTCAACATAAAAATGAGCCGGGGGAAAGACTCATTTCTATGGTTCTGCTTGCCTTTGTGGACTGGACTTGTTAAGCACCTATAAGATTGAACTAAAAGCCTAGACCTTCGAATCGGCAAATAAATGTGGGAAATTACTGGCCTGGCAAATGAAAAAAAGACAAAAGCTGAATACGATTACGAACTTGGTAGTAGAAGGGAAGAACATACAGAATCCTGGAGAGATTGGGAAGTGCTTTCAGAACTATTTTAAACAGTTATATACGCAGGAGACTCAGAAAGAATTAGACATTGATCGATTTTTGAAAAATAATGGATTACAAAAAGTATCTCAAGAGAGTAAATCAATATTAAATTCTACAATATCTGATCAAGAGGTGGAAGGAGCCATTCAGAATATGAAATTGGGCAAATCTCCAGGACCGGATGGACTAACTGCAAAGTACTACAAAACTTTGAAAGAATGGTTATTGCAACCGCTGAAAGAACTTTGCAATGAAATACTACGGGAGGAAAAGCACCCGAGACGTGGAAAGAATCATACATTACACATATACCAAAAAACGAAATGGAGAAGACACAGTTGAAGAACTACCGTCCCATATCCCTACTTAATGTGGATTACAAAATTTTTGCGGAAATTATGGCTAAAAGATTAAATGTATTGGTAAAAGAGATTCATAAAGACCAGGCGGGCTTTCTCCCTGGGAGACATCTGTCAGATAATACTAGGAATATTATCAATATTTTGGAAAAATTGCAAGTTAATATCAATACTAAAGCTGTCTTAATATTTGTAGATGCAGAGAAAGCGTTTGACAATATTTCTTGGAGTTTTATGAAGAAAAATTTGCAGGGGATGGGGGTAGGCCAAAGTTTTGAAAATGGTATAGGTGCAATCTATTCGGAACAAAAAGCTAAGCTTATTGTGAACAATGTAGTTACAGAAGAATTTAAGATAGAGAAAGGAACAAGACAGGGTTGCCCAATCTCCCCATTGCTTTTATATCGGTCCTGGAGGTTTTGCTCAATATGATTAGAAAAGACCAATTGGTTAAAGGTATACAACTCGGAGCTAAACAGTACAAATTGAAAGCTTTCGCTGATGATTTAGTTTTGACATTACAGGAGCCAGAAGCTAGCACAAAAAGAGTATTACAATTAATCCAAGAATTTGGCCAAGTAGCAGGTTTCAAATTAAACAAGACGAAAACTAAGGTATTAGAGAAAAAACCTTACAGAGATTGAGAAGGAGAGGTTTCAGAAAGAGACAGGATTAACAATAGTTAATAAAGTGAAATATCTAGGGGTGAATATGACTGCCAAAAATGTGAATCTGTTTAAAGATAATTATGAAAAATGTTGGTCAGAAGTGAAGAAGGATTTAGAAATATGGTCAAAATTGAAGTTATCATTGTTGGGCCGAATTGCTGCGATAAAGATGAATGTATTGCCCAGAATGTTGTTTTTGTTTCAAACATTGCAAATTGTGGACAAAATGGACTGTTTCAAGAGGTGGCAAAGAGATATTTCCAAATTTACCTGGCAGGGCAAAAAGCCTAGAATAAAATTTAATATATTAACAGATGCGAAGGAAAGAGGGGATTTGCCCTGCCAGATCTTAAACTTTACTATGAATCAGCCGCTTTTTGTTGGCTGAAAGATTGGCTACTTCTTGAAAATGTGGACATTTTAGATCTAGAAGGTTTTGATAATGTGTTTGGATGGCATGCATATTTATGGTATGACAAAGTTAAAGCGCACAAGGCCTTTAAGAATCATATTGTTAGGAAAGCATTGTTTAATGTTTGGGTGAGATATAAGGATTTGTTGGAAAGTAAAACACCAAGGTGGCTGTCACCAATGGAGGCAAAGGCATTGAAAAAAACCAATATGGAGACAAATTGGCCAAAATATTGTGAAATTTTAGAACAAGTTGGAGATAAATTAAAATTGCAGAGTTTTGACAAATTAAAAACTAAAGTTCGAGATTGGCTTCACTATTATCAAATAAGGGAGGTTTTTAACCTAGATAAAAGATTGGTTTCCAGGAGGAAAAATCTAAACTGGAAACGGAATTGTTAGAACCTAAAACTAAAAATTTGTCAAGAATGTATAATCTGCTGTTGAAATGGAATACACAGGATGAAATGGTTAAGTCTGCTATGATTAAATGGGCACAAGATGTTGGGCATAATATTATGTTTGCTGACTGGGAACGGTTATGGACCACAGGTATGAAGTTTACGGCTTGCAATGTATTAAGAGAAAATATAATGAAAATGATTTATAGGTGGTACTTAACCCCAGTCAAGCTAGCCAAAATCTATCATTTGCCTGATAATAAATGTTGGAAATGCAAAGAAAAGGAAGGAACCTTTTTCCACCTTTGGTGGACGTGCCCAAAGATCAAGGCCTTCTGGGAAATGATATATAATGAATTAAAAAAGGTATTGAAATACACTTTTGTGAAGAAACCAGAGGCTTTCCTCTTGGGCATGGTCGGCCAATTGGTGCGAAGGGAAGACAGGAATTTTTTATGTATGTGACAGCAGCGGCAAGAATACTTATTGGGAAATACTGGAAGACACAAGAATTGCCTACCCGAGAAGAATGGCAGAGGAAAGTGATGGACTATATGGAACTGGCTGAGATGACCGGCAGAATTCGAGATCAGGAA